CGCAAAAAAATCGCTTGAATGGTTTTATTAACCAACCGTGAAGTGAGAATTAAAAGCCAGTAGCGAAGGTGCTGGGTCTTTTTTTAGTTATGTTTTCTATGGCGAAGGAATAAAGAAATACAGTCATTCTGTATGAATGCATTTCCGGATCTACCAAATTGGCTACAGCTAAAACTTCAACCATAGATATAGCTATTCCATTATATCAAATTTGACTATTGAATTATATGTCACGGTAAGATCGTTTTATTCAGAGATTTTAGTACAATTTTGCAATATCTACGTAATGTTTGCGCCAGCCAAGCCATAAAAGCACAATAAATTGACCAAACGGTTTATTATTGTGCGTCTACAAGTGTCCAAATTTTATTACCTTTTTTATTTACGGCTGGAACCTGCTGTGATTCAAAAGTTGCAATGCAACACGAACAAATAATATGACCTTTATGTATTAATATTTGAAATGTGATAGTTTTTTGTTTTATTTTTATATCTCGTTCTTTGTCAGGTGCTTGCCAACGCTAATAAAGAAACAAGCTACGCTCAACGAACCATTGAATCCTCAACCTTGACTTTAAAATGTCAACATTCCACTGATGACCTATCGCTTGCACTCCTCTGAGATGAGCAATGTCATTTATATATTTTTTACCAGTAGAACTATAAATATCTATTTTAATATTATTAACCACAATTTTTCCTTTCCGCTGTCCCCATCGCGAGGTCATAGGGCTAATTTTGTTGTAGAAAATCCGATCGTATAGACAACGGGACGGTACTTATCAGAGAGGTCTGATTTGCGATATTTGTATGAAAAAGGTGGTTTCTCATTCGAATTGGTTTTGCCATGAGCTGGCACTTCAAATGGCTACCTATACTTTTTTAATGTACCTGTATAAATTTAATAACAATCTCTTCTTTTCAATCCAGCAGTACAATTCTGTAAGAATAAACTCACCATTCACCGCGGAATTCTCCGGTGTGATTTGAAATTCGTATTCTAATTTCTAATTACACGCGGTTCTTACAGAATAGCACTGCAGGATATTTATAATGCTGATTTGAAAACTGAATTAACGACACATTGGTGTCGATTCTGGTATGTTCTCTAAACCTAAACTTAAATTTGACAACAGTGAATTCTTGTCATTCTCTATTACAGAATGAAAAGGAGAGGCTGATGTTAGTTTTAATTTTAAAGTATCAGGGCAGAATTGATACCATTATCTGTATAATCCTACTAATATTATAAATGTGAAAGTTTGTATGTTTGTGTTTGTTAGTCGTTGTTTGTTACTCAATCACGCAAAAAAACTTAATGGTTTTTGATTAAATTTGCCACAAATATAGTTTATTAGCTGGATTGAGACATAGGATACTTTTTATTCCGGAAAAATTTTAAGTTCATGATTGGATTGGATGGATCGGACTGAAAGTTATCGCGGACGAAATCGTTTCCGCTAGTGTTAAATAATAATGATTCCGCAAATTTCGAATAGTGGAATTTGAATACTCGTTTGCACGAGTATACGGAATGCTCTTGTCGTCCAAAATCGAATCTAAATAACTTTCTAAGCCTGTAAGCGACAAAGCACGCTCTTCTTTTTTATAGAAGGCCTAAGCCAAATCATAATTACGGCCTGGGTCCAATTTACCAAGTCACATATGTCGATATAGTGACAAATTTTGAGAATGATTTTCGGAAATGCTTATAAAAATGGCAAGCATTTTGTTATAATTATCCGTAACTTATTTCACGACAATTATGTTGTAAAAAAGTTAGCTTTTTAAGTCGACATTTACCGACAATATGTCAAATAAACATATTGTCGGTAATTCTTGACATGAGATCGGGGCTGTGTCAGATTTGCGTAACAATTGTAGTTAGACAATGGGTCTCCGCGTAAGCTTGAAAAGATGAGTTTTTATATAGGAGAATTTATTGAGAATGAATAAATTTCTTTTAATAAGTTTAAAGAAAAATTCCGCATTAATTAAAACCAGTATAGAACATTTTTTTAATAAAAATCGGCGCAAATATATATATATATATCACCCCACAACAAACCGTGGGCTTTCATATATCAGCGACATAATGTCGACTTAATATAATAAACATTTTAGGATATTATTCCAAGAAGGACTGTCGAAATCTTGCGGGATGTCCGCTTGATACGCACCTATTTTTCACCATATCATCAATAAAAAACAAGTCATTACATGGTATAATATTTATGAATACCATAAATAATTATTATTAAGTATATACTCTGTGTAGCTTGATACTTACTAACTTTGTATTTGAGTACTTAATTGTTTTTGCATCAATTTACTATTATGATGTGTTATTTTAACGCATTAATTGGTAATCCTATTAGGGCCAACGTTTTTGAAACAGTCTGCAATTAAAACATATTCATTGCGTATTTCACCAGAATTCTCAATAAATATCCAATGAAATTTTATTAGCAGATGCATCAAAGTTATCTTAGGCGAGTTTGACATTTTAAACTTTACTATTTACTTAAATAAGTCTTCACTTTATTGACTTGCGGTAACTTCTTTTTATTTACTTGCAGCTAGCTAGGACACATCTGCTAGTAATTATGAATATGGACACGTCATTTAATTAACGGAAATAAGATGCAGAGTAAGATGTCGAGTCTTGTTTTTTTTGTCGAATATTTAAACATTTCATACTCAATTTACTCGCTTAATTTAAGCTTAGTAAAGGTACTAACTGCAATCTATTGATTCTGTGATTATGGCTGCTAATAACAATTCTAATAAAAAAGGGAATATTGTTCTTTATAAAGATAGTTTTTTTGCTACTTGTTTATCATCGGAGATGGAGACACTATTCAATGCAAAGGTCGAATTACAAAAGAACATGCAATTACTATAACCGGACCAGACAGTACCATTATTAGAGTATGTCACATTAAAATAACAATTAATGTAAATGGTAATGCAAATAACTCGTTATAACGCGTTACAACGGTTACGTAATATTATGTTAATAAGCGCGTTATGGTAATAGTATGGGATCAACACGCCCATGGCATGCGTACGGTCTTAAAGTATGATCGCACCACGTCCGTCGCAGCTTATTAGATTATAATGTATAATAATTTATATTTATTTTGCGTTGTTGTTTCGAAAATTGAACAATAAAATCTTGAATAGAAATGTTTTAAACCAAACAAAGTAATAGCTACCTGCTACATGAAATTATTCATGAAGGCAGGGCAAATAATCAAAATTGTGGCATGAATTTATATTGAAGTCATATTTCATTGCTACCTTAAGAAATTCACATTCGACATTCACAAAATAAATGAACTTAAAAAAACTTAAGTACATTTATTGTTGTAGACATTTTAGTTACAAACTCTCTTTATAAACAAAGAGCATTGCTATTTTGTTTTATAGGGTAAGGATAGTATAATTAAACAAATATATTTTATTTACATTCAATTAATTAATCTGTCAATCAATATTCTACGTTTATTTAATTTTTAGCAAAACGTGATAGTCCGAAGTTAAGATAATATGTAGATTGTAGATACAAAAATATAGCCGATCTACAAAAATAAATTATCAACACGTTTAATTAGAATAATTTGCTCATTTGGATCATAATTAAATAAACCTACGTGAGGAATTGTCAAAAACTATAAATAAAATGTCTAACAAAATAGCACCCTGACCTTTTATAGCTTCACGACCGGTAACACTTGAGCGTGATTTCAGTTATCGATACCGAGTAACCTATTTAGGCACGTCACTGCTCTAATGTACAACAGTGTGACAGGGCCTTGTCGATAATCGTTCAACTTTGACATTCGCACGCGTAGCTCTGGCACGCGGCTCCTGTCGCACCAGTTACGTGATCAGTCACGGTTGTTACGACACAACGTATGAATAATGCGTAACTTATGCCTATGGGGCGAACATGTCTATTTGACCCAGTAAGCGACACTAAAAGGCTAGTTTTAAAGTTCCGAAGTCAATAAGGAAGTCCTAATACCCGTTCGCATTTGAATGATAGACTATTAGAACTGGAAGGAAACGTCGGTCGTTTCAGATGTGCTTGTGAATTTGTGATCATAAGAAAGGTGTTCGGCCTGCGATCGAGGAAGTTGAACAACTTTCCCAATGGTCGGTCATTGGATGGGTGATCAAAAACTTATTATCTCGAGCTCCGCCGTGCTTCTAAAGGCACACTAAGGTGGCTCAATCTCCCTATTCTATCCATAGGGAAGGCGTGTGCCCCAGCAGTGGGGATATTCATACGCTGATGATGATAATGATGAAGAAATTCTAGTAGTGCATTACAGACAACTTCATTTGAATATAACAAGAAACATACTAAAACCTTCATCAGCACTGAAATTCTAATTAATTTCTTTTATTTGAAATTTTTATCATTCATCATTAATAACTAGCGCCGCCCGCGACTTCGTCCGCGTTAACTTTAGTTTTTAACGTGAACCTAACCTTTATCGGGGTTAAAAGTATCCTATGTCTCAATGCAGGTCGTAAACTATATGCGTACCATATTTCATCCAAATCCAATATAATATTAGTAGGATTATTATTAATAAAGAATGCATCGCTCAACGCCGGGTGTGACATTAACTAATCGTTCGATGTATCGATAACATTACAACACTTATCTTGAAAATTTTTACAGATATAATATTGCATTAAAATATTTGTAACGTTGCAATATCGTATGCACTCGACGATAAGTTGATATCTCAATCTTATGGCAACATCTGTTGCGAGCTTTGTTCAAATATAATTCAGCATCTTGACTCTAAAAACAGCATAATTATTTTAAGTTGATAGATATGGATAATAATGGGTATATTATTGACCGTTACATATTGATTAATTCCTTCCATGGTAACGAAGCGCTCTATGCTCCAGTCAGGGCAGGATCCAAGGCCGGATCCAAATATTGATTTAAATTAACCGAATTCCCTCTTCTCCAGATGCGACTCGGACCACACGGCAGAGATGCTGTACACGCATCTTCAAGCGCTAATAGAGAGGCCCGAGAACCAAAAGAAATTCGCAGACATCGAGCGCAAGTTACAAATGAGGGGGGCGCTGCCTTCCAGCAAGAAACCTCCAGATTCATCCCTAGGGAGCGAAGTATCCAGAGAATCCGATTCTGGAAGCAATGAAGAGCGCTGCGTCGCGAATCTATATGACAGTTTAGCTGCCGAGCTCAAGCAGAAGTTGTCAACAGGTAAAAAAGCCGTAGGTCAGTGGAGTTTTTCATATTTTACTGTAGGTAGACACGCTTCCACGCGCGTTGTATGTGCACAGTATTTATGTTTGGTATGTATGTAAGTAGCACCAATATATTAATGAATTTGACACTTTAAGTCAGGTATAACATTATTACTTGAAATTGATTTTGATATTGGGAGAATAACTAAATTTAGTTTTCTTTGGAGGACGGGAATCCTTTTGCGTTAGCTTCGACTGTACTCCTACTGTGCCCTTTTTAAGAGAAATATTAAACAAAAATATCTGAAATACTATTTTTGAGGGTAATCTCTAACTAGAGGATTTTAGACTATACTATCTTTAACATACTGAAGTAACTTCATTGAATAACAATTATAAATTATATCTTCATGTCAATGAAGCCTATGTGGTACTTAGTTACAAAATCTCATCCTTATTTATTCTATTGCTTATTTTTCAAAATCAATACCTCTTGAAATGTGCTTACAAAGCTTGCTATCACGCTTTCTTGAATATAAAGGAAATCACGTTAAATACTTAACTGACGATTGTTACTAACCAGCTCAACTTGCAGGCAAGAGCCCGATACTTCTGCCACCCCGCGACTACGACACGGTGCACAGACAGAAGGGCAACCTGAGCAATATCGATACGAGGCGGTGCCTCAACCAGAACATCGTGGGGGTGAACGCGCGCCGCAAGCTGGAGTCCTCTGGTGGTAGCTCGGGCATCGGCAGCGATCTAGCTCCCTCGCCGGAAAGGAACGACTACGCGAGAAGAGGAGAGCACGATAACCACAGCACTAGCGGTAAGCGTCTGACCTCATCTATTACGGTATTACAGCCACGTCGACCAATTTATGTGTGTATGTGATTTCATAAATGTATATGTAATGTATACCCAGACATCAAGCTTTCTTCTGGAGGAATATTTCGCGCACTTAACGACTAGGTGACAATTCTTCTAAGTTGACTTAAACCTTACCTACTCTCTGCAAGAATGAGTACAAGCCCGGCCCGGTGACGCTGTATAAGTCATGTGTATCTTATAACATAATACACACTCCAAAAAAAGTACTGGATCTGTGGATATATTTCTCTCATCGTTCAACGGACAATCTCCTTCTGTCGTCCTTTTGTTCTGGCTTCGTCTCTTACTCTTTCACTGTCACAGCTGTAGTAGAAAAGTTCCAAAGGAACATGCATTTAGGGAATTGCTTCGTGAGCACCATCTTAATATCATTAATCTGAGTTCTCATAATCGCATCGCCCCTTGAGATCGCTCTGTTTTTACTAGATGATGGCCCAGGAACAATAAATAAATCTTTAGTAAAAGATTCGTTTCTTAGCTACAGTTATTATTTCAGATCTAGCAGTACTTTTATGTTTTCTGATTAATAATTATCAAAACCAGCCAAGTAAAACACCGACTGTTCACACTACCACTAAAATTATCTATTCACTTATTCTTTACTCGCAGTAGCAATAACTATAAAACTCAATTATTGAAGAAGAATTCCATTATTTTCATGATTGGTTAAAAAAATTAACTTTAAAAACTTGAAAGGGTAACAAAACATATGACGTTATACATTTAACAAAAAAAAACAAAGATTTTAACAATCTTTTAAAAATATTCCGTAGCTAGTTTCGAGGCAAATACCTGTTTCCTGTTGATGTAAAATTATTTAATGATATAACATCATCGTGGCATGGTATTTAAAATGATCATGTTGAATTGATGATTTCATTGGAGACAGTAAAAAATACACGTATCTAATATTTCCGCATGGAATATTATGCTAATTTGGCTTTTTTATGAGTACATAATAATTATTAAACATTATCATATGTGTAATATGATTCAAACTCAATATTTGTGAATGTGAATGATAATAATAATGATCCAGAGTCAGAAGCCTGATTTAAACCAGGATCGACTAGATTTTTTCTAATAATATTTTCTTCAGATTTATTTAAATCTATTTAGGTATGCAGTTAATTCCTTAAAAATAGAACTATATAATCTACATAAAGTCGATTGAAAAGGAATATATTACCTAAAAACATCTAAATAAAAATAGGTATATGCATTTTAATTGATGAAACAATAAAACTATCAATAAAATCGTATTTCGATTTAATCTAACATCATTTACTCGAATACAGAAAAAAGGCTTCTTGTATAAGTAAACTAGTCGGAACGAATCAGCCCCGAGTCGAGTGTCTAATGAGCTACCATTATCCCTTCGGGCTGGCGATTTGTAAAGGAATTCTTTCAAACGAGCAAAAAACGCGGTAATTTTCGTGGCTGTACGATGGCGTCATTGCAATCTTGTCGTGACCCACCGCGGCACGCCGTTTACTGCAGAGTTTACACGATTACGCTACGATTTTTGGCTAACCGCGAATATGTCACACGATTAAGTATTATCGAAGTAAAAAAAATCCGGGAGATTAAAATCAAAAACATCTCATAATATATTTCATACATGAATTCTTTTTGATGGACAAAAATCGCATTTGGCCATTTTACTTGTTCTCATACAAAGAAAATATCGTAATAACATATATGTTGTTATTTTAAGATCTGAATCATTGAAAGTATTATTAGTATTTAAAGCTAACAACGCTATTATTAAAATAGCTTTTTTGACCCCCAAATCAGTTAGAAATTTATTAAATTTTAGCATTTGAAAGTCTATGTACTTAGTTAATAAACTGTTAAACAATAAGGCCCCGATGTTGTGCCATTAAAAATTGCAACTGCGACTTTGAATTAGTTTATATGCAATTTTTCTCTACTATGCAATTACCTACCTTATTTCAATAACATTATCGTATCACATTAATATCTAAAATCAACAGGCAAGTCACAAACTACATTATTCTGGTCATTCGTATTCGACGCGAAATGTTTTCGAATATTCAGTGTTCGACTTGTACCGTATAAGAATTTTAAGATCAAATCCGGTTCTCTTAAGGATATATACCTACATACTTCATTTTTATAAATGTATAGATGTTTGTAATAAAGTAACTTAAAAAATCACATGAAAACTTTAACAAGAACTATTATATCCCAACGCTGTTGATTGAGTTGAGAGTAAAAGATTTTTGTTTGTTTGTCCAAGTCCGGGCTAGACAGAGACCGACGGAGATAATACGGAGTAGTCATCCGTCACTTCAAAAAGCCAAAATAGCAAATTTGTTGGAATCATTTAATTTCTGGGCGTTAGCGTATATGAGCACAGACGTGACCTACGTATCTTTTAGGTACGTTCGTTCTCAGTCAAGCCTAATTAACTATGATAGTGTTTTCTTAATTCATTACATATAGGTACTAATACCTATTATTAGGTATATAAAACACCCGCTGACAGGGCCAGACACTTGAGTGTAATAAACATTTGCATTTTAAAGCCTAATATTTTACAAACAGATGCGGATACTGAAAAATAACAATATATATTTGGTCTGTTGGAAGTTAACCTAGTAAGTCAGTTGGCTTTAATACCGTGGAAGTTCTAGTCCCTGTCTCTTAAAGAATATTAAGAGTATATTATATTTATGTTTTTTTTAATAAATACGTCATTCCCTTCCACAATTCAAATCGTGTGTACGGTAACGATTTAACCGGCTTTAACTTTTAAAATTGATTAGTCACGATGTTCTTATTCACTTAACAGTCGATATAAAACCTTATGTGCATCAAAATAAGAGTCATACTATTGTTTATACGAACTTAAAATATCCATCTATGATTGAAGAAGCCGCTAATGCTTCAGCCTTGACACAGCTCCTAAAAAAATTGATGGAACCTTTTGTGAGAAACTTGAATGGATTTAAAAACACAGTTATTCATAAGTAGCTATGTAAAAAAATGAGAATTTTGCGTACATTAAGTATGTACTTATAACTATGTACCTAACTGGTTTATAAATAAAATAGTCACTTTATCTATACCAATATTATAATATTGGTATAGATAAAGTGATTATTTTAAGAGGAAATATTTTACTGTTTGTTTACTTGTATTGAATAGGCTCCGAAACTACGGAACCGATTTGAAAAATGCTTTCATATTTAGAACCCTACACAATCCCTGATGAACATAGCTATACAGTATTTTCAAAAAAGTTTTGGTTCCCTATAAAAACTTCGACAATGTAATCCAACGTGTGAAAAAAAAAACAAAATCTAACCTTTTATCGCGTCCGCTGCGGAAGTCATTAACAATAGCGCAAAGTGATGTTTCAAAGTTTTATAGAAGACATCAGTATCTACAAACAAGTCTGTGATACCATATGTCTAACTATTACAGTTATGACATAACTAGCTAGTTTACAAATGGTAAATTTTTACCTGATTTTGTAAAATCTTTCATTGGTGCACCGATCCTACTGGTCCTAGCGTGATGTTAAATAGCCTATAGCATTCATCAATAAATGCACTATCCAACACAAAAATATTTTTTTTATATCGGACCAGTAGATTGTGAGATTAGAGCTTTCGACAAAAAAAAACAAATAAACTCTCCAGTTTAATGACATTAGTAAGTAATTATATCAAATTTTCACGAACGGTTTACAATATTATGAAGAAAGTCATTGTGTATAATACAAGCCTGAGAACAACAACAAACTAAGTATAATCTATAGTGTAGGGTTGTAGTGCACCGAAGCAAAGCATAGCAAGCATAGCCCGCCTGATGTTAAGTGGTTATCACACTAATATTATAAAGGCGAAAGTTTGTGAGTGTGTATATTTGTCACGTATAAACGGCTGGAGCGATTTTAATAAAATTTGGTATGGAGTTAGCTGATTCCCTGGATTGTTTTATCTTTAGTTAAATTTGACTATAATTAAATTCTATATAAAAAAAAATAAACCATTTGTTGTTTGTACTTGAGGTGGCATTAACTTTAGTGATATATAACCACTTAACATCAGGCGGGCCTGATATTTGCTTGCGACCTTTTATACATTAAAGAAAAATTAAATTTATTTAGTTGTCAATGTAATTGCTAACTGCATATCTCAATGATGTCATAGATAAAAAAATATAGGTTCTTAGAGAGGGCAATTTAGGTAAAAGTATGCTAAGAGACAGATTATGTTTAAAATTAATATGTAATGGAAGGTGACTTCAGAAGTATCTCTGAAGTCATTTTTCAACTTAACGACTCTGAATATAACAATACAGGGAGAAAAAAAACAGCCCTTGCTGAGTTTCTTGCTGGTTCTTCTCAGTACAAGGTCTCCCGCCGTAGTTTTGCGAACCGATGGCGTAGCTTCTTGACCTTCATAGGTGCATGTAACAGCCTAGACTGAATAAATGAGTTTGAGTTTTTTTTGAGTTATGAAAGATCTAACAGATCGATTACAAAATACAGCATTCAATGGACTTATAACGAACCTTTGCTTATATATCACCCATACATAGGCTTACCATGCGTCCTGATTTGACCGGGATTGTCCCGGTTTTAAATATCTGTCCCGGCGTGCCTAACCGAGGTCCAAGTCGACGTCCTTTAGTTTCGAGTGGTTAGTGACTATACCGCGTAGAGCAGAGACTCCTCTAGGTAGATGCCCTTCGCCTAGAAAAACATAAGAGCCACTAGCCGTATCCCGGATTGAAATACACGGAGCCACCCATAGCTCGGAGATGCTAAATCTGAGACCAACAGCATATAAACTTGAAAAAAAAACGGACTGAGAATATGGTTTGAATTTCAACTCAATACCTCGATGCGTTCCCGAGGTAAAGGGTCTTAACAGATGGATAGACAGACAGATGAAAACAAAG